TTTAATAAAAATATATATTAATCTTTGTAAAAATTATAATGAGATTATGTAATTAATAATTTTAATAAAATTTATAAGAATTAAATATACTCGATTTTTTTTTAAAAAAGTTTATTTTAATTTTTTAAAAAATAATATATTTGTTATTTTACACATTACATTTATCTTTTTAATCTTATTGTTTTAATGCTCAATTAAAAAAAAAAAAAGAAGAACAAATATTATATAGATTATAATCTTTCTATTTTTTGATTGTTTTTACAACAACAACAAAAATATAGGAAAAATAACTTATTAATTAATTCCTATTTCTACCTAATATTTTTTTGAAAATATTGAGTTCGGCTCTTAATATTGTAATGTATGAGGATTTATTGTATATAGAAAATTTTAAATTCTAATGAATAAAATGTTTTTAATTTATTTATTTTAAAAAATTATAAAAATTGGTTATAAATTGTGTAGGAAATCGTATTTCTAAAAATTAACTATTTTATTTTAAATGTTAAAAACAAAGTTAAATTAATTTAAGTTTTATTATTTTCCTAAAATCTATACAACAATTTATAACTTATTTTTAAATTTAATAAATAATTTAAAAAATCGAAAAAAAAAAATATGTTAATTTAAATGCCATAATAATTTCTAAATCTTTATAATAAATATTATTTCCTTTGATTTTATTGAAAAAATTAATTAAAAAGATTAAAAAATATTTATAATATATATAAGTTTAAATATCAAAGAGGATTTACAGTATACAGTTAAAGCAAATAATTGAAACAATTTACTATTTTTAAAAAATAAAATTAATCTTATTATTCTTACACTATAAAAATATAAAACTTTATTTAATGACTATAATATTAAAAAATTTTAATTATTTCATATATTTTCCTATTTTATCAAATTTAATCAGTCTGAATAATTAACTTCTTCTTCGGCCACATCTTCTAGCAAAAGATCTTTTAATTTTTAATTATTAACAATCATAACTCCTTCTTATCCATCATATTTTTCATTTTAATTTTATTCTTCATTTTTATTTTAGTTTGTATTATTAATGTTTTTTTTATTATTAGCTTATTTTTTTATTTAGAATAACATCCTCCTTTACTTAAATTACTTTATTTAATATCATAATTATATTAATTTATATTTAATTAACTTTGCAAATATTCGACACATTAATTTGAATTAATATTTTTAATTGTATTGTTTTCACTAACATTACTTGAAATCGATTCAAAATTGTTTTGATTTAAGGATTTATTGCTTATAATCATTTATATTTATTTTTAATATTCTAACTCTTTTCTTCTTTATTCGATTTTTTATTGTTCTAATTATTATTAAAGAAATTATAATTACTCATTTACTAAATTATTCGCTTATACTTATTATTCTTATTATTTCTATTTAAATTATTGTTTAACAAGTGCCATATCTAATCTAATTACAGATTCTTCAAGTTCTTTTTCATTTTACTCTTTTAGTTTAAAAAAAAAAAAAAAAAAAATATATATTTTTAATTAATAAATTATAAAGAATATACCTGATAATTATTTTAAAGGTTTGTTTATTAATGATGGATTATCTTTCAAACTAGCTATTTGCTTTGAACATTAATAATTAATATTTATACTATTTTTGTTTTCAATATCCCTTATCCTATCAATATTTTCAAAATGAAGTTAATAAATTTCCTATTATAATTTTTGTTCTTCTTTATTGATATTAATTAAATCATCCTTAATAAATAAATTTTAATTATTTTAAATGTAAATAAAATAATATATTTGTTTTACTCTCATAAATTCATCAAGATGTAAATCTTCATTTCTAGTATATATGGAATTTGGAGAATTATTATTTTCTCTACATTTTTTAATATTATTATGAAGCTTTTATCTAAATTTAGGACCAGCTTTATGTATTTTAGAATACTTGTCTTTTATAAAAATATCATTTTATTAATTTTCATTATTTTCGAAATTACTTTAAACTATAGATTATACAACCTTATTATATTTTTTAGGAGTACTATTTTCTTATTTTTCCTAAAGGATAATATCATTATTATTATATTTTTTATTTTAAGTTTGTTTGCTTTTAGCAATTGATAGTAAATCGCATAAATTTTTATCATTAGGAATATTATCACTTTGATTTTTTTTATAGTTATTATCATTTAAAAAGTTGGTATTATTTTATAAATTTTCATTTTTTTCTAATTAATTATTATATTATTAGAGTTTTTTAAATGTCAAACCTTATTAGTTATCTTAATCACTTTCTTCATCAAAGCCTATTGCTTCTCTCAAAAGCTAACTTTCGTTTTTAAGATTATTCTTATATTTTACTTTAAATGATAAATTTAAACTTTCTAAAATTTTACTCTGTTTCATATTTTATGAATTTTCTAATTCGTCCACCCATTCTTTTTCAAAATTTGCAATAAATTCATTCGGATTTAGGTTTATATTTTCTTAGGGATTATTTTACCTTTTATATATTTCTTTAATTTTAGATAAATCATCATCTTTAACATCCAAATTAAGTGCTTCTAATGTAATTTTAGTTTTGCTTTTCCATTGTTTTAAAGGCTTTTTTTAGGTTTATTCAGGGTTTGCTTATACTGTTTTCTTTGTTATATTTTTCTTTGGGGGTATTTTTTAGTTTTCTATCATATTTTAACCTATTTTAGTTGCATTATTTCTTAAATATTTAACATAAGCATCATTTTTGGATTATTTTCGCTTTTCTAATATTTCTAGTTCTGCTTTTCGTTTTTTCTCTTATTCTTCTTTAATTTTTTATTATTATTCTCTTTTTTTATTAAGTTTTTTTTATTTTGTTTGTTTGTTACTTTGATCTTTGCTTGTTTTATAGCATCAACTTTTTAAGTTTTTCCTATTATTATGTATATTTCTCCATTAATGTTTGTTCTAATTCTTATGCTTTTTATTAAACTAGTTATTTTGCATAATAGTTTTTATTGCTACTTTTTGAACTTATTTTTGAATATTTTGTTTATTAACTAATTGCGCTACTTTTAGAAGATAATGCCATTTTATATCCAAATAATAAATATTATATTTTTTTTGTTAATAATATAGTAAACAAAAAAAAATATATATATATATTATTTAAAAATTAAAGCAATATATTTAAATTAAAATAGCGATTTCTATTTTATATAATCCCAATAAATATATATTATTTTCTCCATTTTAGTTTTTTTATTTTATTCAGTATTTTTTTTGTTTAAAAAAAAAAGCTTAATAAAAAGTAAAAAATTGATAAATATGGATAATTGTCTTTTTTATTTTATTAAATTTAAAAATAAATTTAAAGAAAATTAAAAAAAAAACGATATGAAAAAGTAATATACTATAAATTTTTATTAATTAAAACATTTCCCATCTCTATATTTTAAAAATTAAATTTTTTATTAAACTTTTTAAAAAGGTTATATTATATAGTATTTTAATACAATAAAGCAAAATTTAGAAAATTAATATTAAAAATTATATTTAATAATATCTAATTAAAAATATGGATATTAATAAAAATATTTTATAAAAAACAAAAGAATACAAATCTAGATATTTATTTCATTAAAAATTTAGTTTTTATTAAAATATTTACTAAAATTTAATAACAGTTAAAATCATATTTTTCTGTAGTTAGATATTAATTCATTATTATTTCTAAACAAATCAAAATTTTAAAACTTTTAAGTTATTTATTTAACGAAAAAAAAAAAATATGAAATCGTTAATTGTTATATTTTAAAGCTATACTTTATTAATTTACAATATATTTATTTTATTTTTAAATTTTTTTTAATAGATTATATTTTACACAGACATAAAAAAAAAATAGATTTATTTCAATAGCATTTTATTTTTAAATAAAAATAAATAATTGTATTTTTTAAGAAAATAAAAAATTTATAAATTTTTAAAAATAAAATATTTAATACACATTAAGTTTTTAAATGAGAAAAATTATAATAAAAGAGTAAAAATATAATATTTGAGTATTTTTAAAATTTATATATATATATTTTTTTTTTTTATAAATTAAATATATTTTATATATATGATAATATATAAATATATGTATATATATATATATATATATATATATATTCTAAGTTTTTTATAAAAAACCAATTTTAAAGGGTTTTAAAATAGCTAAAATTATTTTACCGTAAAATTAAAAGAAATATCTTTTATTTTCATTTTCGCAATTATATATATATATATTAAATATTATAAATTTTTAAAATAAAATATTTATCTTAAATTAAATTTTAATTTTGAAATAATTTATTAATGAATTTATATTTTTTTTATTTAAAAATATAAATAATTATCTTAGTTATAATTTTAATTAAATAAATAATGAGTATTTGAGATGTATTATATTTATAGTTAATATTATTTATAAAAAAATATTTATTTATATTACTATTTTCTTATTAGAATAAGAAAATACATTATTAAGTTTTTTTATATTACTTATCCGTATTTTTTTTTGTAACTTTTTTTAAGGATTTATTTGAAAAAAAAAAGTTGAAAATTACATTTTTGTTGTTGTTAATTTATTGAGCTTTAAAAAAATTTCAGAAAAAATACAATATGAATAAGTAATATTATCTAAAAAGCTATCATTTAAATTGTTTAATAAACATTAAATATTATTATAATTAAACATTAGACATTAATATTATTAAACATTATTATAATTAATTAATTTATTGATTGATTATATATTAGATAGTTAATTAAAAGAGAACATTATGCAATTAAACTATAATTTTTATTTATTATCAAAATATAATAAGAACCAATATTATATAAAAATACTTTTAGAATAAATAAATTTCTAAAAATAATAAAGTATAAATATTATAAAATAATTATTAATAATAATTAAATAAAAAATAATTATATTAAAAAAGTAACTTCAAATACTTGTTTAGAAATTAAATGCAGAACTTTTTTAAAGTCTAAAAATCTTATAAAAAAGCAAGACTTTCAACTCTGAATTTACGTCATGGAGAAGTATAAACCCCTGTATTTATGCCTGTTGGAACAAAAGGGACTATAAAAGGTATTAAAATTATATTTTAAAATAATTTTCGTGAAATTAAATATTGAAAAATATTTAATATTTTCAAAAAAAAGTATATTTTTAATTTTTTTTTTTCTCTAAAAATTAATATAATATAAAAGTAAAAAATAGGCTTAACATCACAGGAAATAGAGAATCTTGATTATAAACTAATTTTAGCAAATACTTATCATTTAGCATTTTAACCTGGTGCATCTTAAATAGAGAAATATAAAGGAATACATAACTTTATGAATTATTCTTTTAATATTTTGACTGACTCTGGAGGTTACCAGATGGTATCCCTCGAGAAATTGTGTTAAATTACTGAGTAAGGTGCTAATTTTTAATCTCATACTTTACCATCAGAAACAATAATTCTTACCCCTGAAAAATCTATTTATATATAAAATTAAATAAACTCTGATATAATGATGGTATTAGATGACGTAGTCTCTCCTGTAAATACGACTGAAGACAGAATAAAAGAAGCTTGTGAACGTACAATAAGATGGGTTGATCGAAATATTCAAGAAAAAAAATTAAGGAATTCAAATTAGGCTATGTATGCAATAATACAAGGAGGAATAGATAAGAATTTAAGACTTTAATGTATTTAATAACTAAAAGATAAAGATGTATAAGGATTTGCTATTGGAGGTTTATCAGGAGGAGAAAATAAAGAAAAATTTTGGGAAACAGTTGATTTTTGTACTGATCATTTGCCAAAAGATAAACCAGTTTATTTAATGGGTGTTGGGTATCCTGAAGATTTAATTGTTTGTGCTGCTTTAGGCGTTGATTAATTTGATTGTGTTTTCCCTACAAGAACAGCTAGATATGGTATGGCTTTTAGTAGATTTGGACCTCTTAAAATTAAAAATAAGGAATTTAAATATGATTTTAGACCTATTGATTAAAATTGTTTATGCTAAGTTTAAATTTTTTTATTATATTATATTTTATTTTTTTTAAGGCTTGTTAATAATACACAAGAGCATATCTCAATTAAATTTCTAAATAAGAAGTCTTTTGTAGTTTATTAAGTCAACATAATTTATTTTTTTTATAGAAATTAATGAATTAAATTAGAAAAGCAATTGATGAATAAAAACTAGAAGAGTTCATGTAATTATTTTTAATTAATTATTTTTAAAATGGATAAAAAATACCTAATTGGATAAAAAATGCTTTAGGAAAATATAAATTAATAAATTTATGAATATAAATAAATTATTTTTCAATTTTAACTTTTTTATAACTTTAAATATTATTATATATTAGTTTTTACTTTTATTTTAATAATGAAACTATAATTAATTTATTTATAATCACATAATTTTATAATAAGATTTTTAATTAAGAAATAAATCTTTACTATTTAAATACAATTTCTTTAGAAGTTTTATGTTGCTTATTAAAATAATTTATTTAATATCTCTAAAGATATTTAAAAATAAATAATCCAATAAAAAATAAATTTATAAATTACATATAGAATATATTTTATTATATAGAATTATTAATAAATTAAAATCAAAATGTATTAGTCTTTTTTATTTGTATTACTTATAAATATTTATAATAATTGTTTTATAATTATTTTATTTAAAAAATTTTGAAAAATATTTACTAACAACATAAATTAATTAATATTAAATAAAAAAATATTTTCTAATATAAAAATTAAATAAAAAAAAAATAGAAAAATATAGTGATATGAAATTATGATTATAGAGGTTTCTATTTCGCACATAAATAAAATTAATATTAAGTTTTAATAATATTTTATTTATATTTATACTTTATATAAAAAAAATTATTGATTTTTTTTTTTTATAAATTAATCAAAATCAAAATTAGAAAAAGTATATGAATTTATATTAAATTAAAAAATTTATAATTACTTTTTTATAAAATAAAACGGAAATAAATAAATATTTTGAAAATATTCAAAATATCTATATAATAAATATTATATATAAAATAAATAAAAAATTAATATTAATTTATTATTAGATTATAAAAAGAAAATCGTATATATTTTTTTTTTTAATAAAAATATATAAATAAAACAATTAAAATAAAAAAAAATACATTAAAAAAAAGATAAAAATATTAAATTTGGATTTTAAGAAAAATAAAAAAAAAAAATTAAAAAAAAAAATAATATTAATTAATAATTAAAATCAAAAAGAAAAAATAAAAAATTAAAAATATAATATTATGATTTATGCATATAAAATAAAACATATTTATATATTATTTATTTAATTTTAAAAAAGATAATAATAAAAATAAATAAATAAATGAAATGAAATAAAATATATAAAAAATTAATATTTAATATTTAATATTTAATATTTAATATTTAATATTTAATATTTAATATTTAATATTTAATATATATATTTATAAAAATTTATTTTATATATATTTTTTTTTTTTTAATATTTTTATATTATTAATTTTATCTTATCATTTTATATTAAATAATTTTTCTTTATTTATTTTATTTTATTTTATTTTTATTTTTATTTTTTTTTTTTTTTTACTAATTTATCCTATTTTAATTATTTATATAAAAAATTTTGTTTTATAATTAATTTTTTACTTAAAATATTTAATATCATATAAATATTTAATAAATTTTTAATATTTTATTTATTTTTATAAATTAACAAAATATATATTTTTAATATTTATAAAA